TTTTGATGAATCGGTGTATTTACTGGTTCAGGTCCTAAATTTAAAATCAAATTTGCTGTCACTGCATTTAAATAGTCCTTACGGATTATTCGGGATCTGTTGTTGTGAATACCCTTAATGGCTTATTTGAAGATATTGAGGATCCACCCATAAGATATGGATTCACGGTCATTTGTAGTGATTCTGCGGCATTTGTTATTTGAGAGAAATTTGTAGGTTGAGTTTTTGTTATTTCATGTTGTTGTAGATAATATGTAGTGGACTTTCATTTTGCATTTGAGTTGGTAGATAATTTTGTGTTTTCACTGGGTTTTGTGATTGAAAATTATTATTATATGGGGTTGGGTGATGTGTTGTTTGCCTTTGTTCGTTTCGTGTATATGTTTCGAAAAGATCTGGTTGATATAAAGGATCTGGTTGATCGATGTTTTACTTATTGTGATGATTATTTGTGCGAAATTGTTGATTTTGATAATAATATTCTTCGTCTTCTGAGTAATGTGGTTGATTTCTAACATGTTTGTTTGCGATGTTTTTTTTGTTGGAAAAAATGGGTAATTTTCGCTACGATCCAGTGTAGCTCGTGGCTGGTCGTTAAAAATACTGATTTTGATGTTTGTTGTGGCACAATTTGATTTTGTGATTGTGGTTGATTTTGATTAGTATTGGGAGATTTGTTGATCTGAATTTTTGGAAAAAATTCTAGTTATGATCTGAGAAATTATTTCTGTTTGATGTCTTTTGCTTATTTGTTTGTCTTGATGTTGTTTCTGGTCTAAATGTTTGGTAGTCCATTTGTGAATTTTTGAATAACTGAAGGTTTCACTGTCGATTGTATAGTTGTTTGTGGAAATACTGTGTTTTTATTTTTTGGAGTTGTAAGTGTTGGATGAATAGGAGAAATGCTTTGTTGTTTTGTTGTTGGCATTGTTTCAATTATTTCTTCATTTACGAAATGTGATGGGTTTGGATATCTTGCTGTGTAAGATCACTTGTTCCATTGCAGTTTTTTTGGTTAATAGGTGTAGAAATTAGGCTATTATTTCCTTCTCTATCTGTGAATATTGAATTATAGTTAATAGGTATTGCATCAATAGTAAGTGGAGTTATTCTAACATAATCTTTATTGATGGAAATCGTAGTCATTGCTTGATTGAGATGTCAGTTGGTATATTAATAGATGATGGATGAGACGATTCAGGGTCCCAAACATAATATGTTTTGTCTGCCAATATAGTTTCATCATCTCAATTTTGTGTTTGGAAATTTTTTCTGGCTACTGATATCAGGTCACGATTATGGGCAAAATAATCATTTATAAACCATGCTAGTAATTTTTGTAGATCGTGTTTAACATTTTGTGATATTTCGTTATTAGTGAGATTTTCACGGATTGTGCTTAAAAGTTTTGAAAAAGTAGTAATTTCTTGTCCTACAGCTGTATGTCGGGATGTTTGAATTGGTGAGTCACCCTGTGTTTCTCTCAATTCTAGTATAGATAGATAGCTATAAATATTTGAGAATACATCGTTTGTGAATATGGAATTTGCTCTTTGTGAGTTTTGGTGTTGTATATTTTTTATATAGTCTGTAAAAATTTTCGAGAATTCTATATCTATATCGTCTGTTTGTATTTGGTGTTTTTGGTGAATTTGTTTTGGTGATTTGGTTTCGATTGTGTATATACCATACTGTGATGTGATATTACATATATTTTTTAGGTAGTGATCAAGGATTTGTCGTTTTATTTGTACTTCAGGGAATTCTTGTTTACATGGGCTAATTCCTTTTTCAAATAAGTTTACGATTAAGTTATGGCAAAATTGTACTTGTTCTCGGGAGGGATCATTTAGTGGTTTTATAAGAAATGGGAGAATTGAGCTATCGTCAAAATTTTCGTCGTACTTGATTATGTTTAATATTGTAAATCTCTTAGTGTGTAACATTCAATATGTCTTATTGGTTGATTCCAATTATATAGGCGTATTGGTTTGTTGGTATATGACTTTTTTCTTTTGCCTTTTTTCTTTTGTTGATGGTGGTGTTGTGGCTTCTGAGTCAGAAAAAAAATTTGGTCGTCGATCGGGTTATTTTTACTTATGGAATCTTTTAATTTTTGAAGTTCCTGTGTTGTGTTTGTGTCTGATTCTGAGACTGCGTTTACTTTTTTTGAAAATCGTTTTCTGATAATTTGTTTTTGTTTTGTTATGATTGTCTTTTTTCGTGTTTGTCGTTTTGATTTTATATATCCTTTTGTTTGTCTGTGTGCTGTTATTACAAGGTCGTATCTTTCGTTTTTAATTAAACAATTATGTAATACGATTGTTTGTTTGTTACCTAGATTATCTCTTGACATAGGTTTAGGATGATGGATGCAAAATTTGGTTTAGAGTTTTTTAATTTCTTAAACTGTTAGTTCTTACGCGTTTTGTGTGGTTATCTTATCTTGGGGCATAGATTGTCGTGGTTTGACGGGTTGGAGAGAGAGTGGTATACCGATTCGTGAGAATGAATTTTTACTTTCTCGTGACTAGTTCTAATTTAAGATAGACTTACCTAATCTTACTTAGGGGTTGTGATTAGTGATCAAGGGTTGGAGAATAGTAAATCAATCCACAAAGTTCATGTATAATCAGAACGCAAGTAGATCGTTAGGTATATTTTATGACTTATTAAGTTGAAGTGTTTTAGCCTGGGTCATCTAAGAGGAAGGGGATCAAGTGAAGGATGAATAACCGAAGTTCGTCACAAGTTAACTTAATTAGAATGGTTAGTTTTTTCGAAAATTTCAATTAGTTCAGGGTCTTTCATAAGGGTTGGGTAGTGAATTGACGTTTGAGGTCGTTAGACACTTTTGAAAATGTGGGGGGGGAACAAAAATGTTCAGTTTGATGACCAGAAAAAAAGAAAATTAATTTAAGTGACTGTTTAAAGATCCAAGGAAAGCTTTGATGATCTGTTTTTTAAGTTGAGATACTTTTAAGAGAAAACAAGGATAAGCCTGATAACATTTAAGATAAAAGTTTAAGTGTGAAAAGCTTAAGATTGAAGTTCAGGATGATATTAGTTTTGTGTAATTTGCTGTTATTTTTTAGATGATGAAGCTGGGATGAAGAAATTATTTGATGGCTTATTAAAACTAAGAATAATTTTATTCAATAAAATATTTTATTAAAATGTTTTTTTAACTGCAGATTTTTGGAGGGAACAACTTGTGTTGTTTTTATCAGTCGTTATTGTATAAATAGTAAATTTAGCACCATTAAGGTTACTGAAGGATTTTTTCAAATCTTATGCCATTGAAAAAAAATTTAAATTTACTGCGGAACTGATCCTAAATACATAGGTTTGTTCTGGTTTCCGTCGTACTATCATGAAATCAACCGGTAGAATTCTTCCTAATCGTAGATCGTGCCTTGTCCTTGGTCTTCTCGTAATATCTGGTATTTCTCGTATTGTTTGGAAAATTGGTGGAGATCTACTTAGTCGGAGAGATATTTCTAATAAATTGTCTATTTCATGTAATATTTTCGCAGTTTTGCAATTGTCTAATTCTAATCTATTTTTTGTAAGTCTAAGTTAGTTAAGGTCTGTTCGAGACTTTTTGGTCGCACCAGATGAGTTATGTACGGTTTACTGTACTCATAGAGTAATTTCAGATAAGGTAAACCGTCTGCTCGTCACGCTATCTTTTTTTCGGATGGATAGATTCGTGCAACTTCTTAGTCTAATACCAATCTTAACCTTGCTCTTATATCTCCTAGTCTCAATAGATCTAGTGTATACTGGTTTATGCGAGTTAGTTTCCAGAAGGAGAACAACCCTATTCTAAGTTTAATTCAAATTGCTCTGGTGCTGAAACTACAAGTAGTTTCAGCACTTACAAATAAGTGTAACTGTTAGTTATGGAATATGATTGGTTAGTTAAGAATATTTTTTAGAATTAGAGAATTATATAGATAACCAATTATAAATTCTAGTTTTAGAACTGGTTCCAATATCGCAATTATTTAAGACACTTTGAAAACTGCATTCTAAGTTTTATCATTTTGTAAACTTAAGAGAACGGAATTCGTTAGTCCTTCTTTACACTCACCAAATGTGTCCAGTTGAAAATCAGGATACTCGCCCGGGATAACTTTGTACTTCCAATAATTCACATGACCTGAGAAAGAAATGTTCATTTTAATGAATACATGTCCGCTAGAAGGATAGTGTATTTGATACCGTTGCCCAATTTTGGAGCTATGAACCATCAGTTTCGGAGGAAGAGTGATTGTCCTAATTTCAACTACACCTGCTATACCCATATTGTCAACAGGGGTTGCAGTTATACTGGTTTTTCTTCCTGGAATTAGGCCTCGAATTGAACAGTTAGTTGAAAAAAAAGTTCGGGTAGTGTCGTTTGGAGAATTTTCTGGAGAAAGAGCGAAGTTTATCTGCTTTAAGTTGCCTACGACAGATGAAATGAATAATACGGAATAAAAATCGGAGGTTTCGTTTTCATCTAGCCGAGAGACTTGAATGTTCTCCAAAATTATACTAGCTGCAACTTTGATTTCGGTAACTGCTCCTTCTACTAATCCAGCTATCTTCACATATCTTCACATATAAATCTCCACATGTATACTGGTTTATGCGAGTTAGTTTCCAGAAGGAGAACAACCCTATTCTAAGTTTAATTCAAATTGCTCTGGTGCTGAAACTACAAGTAGTTTCAGCACTTACAAATAAGTGTAACTGTTAGTTATGGAATATGATTGGTTAGTTAAGAATATTTTTTAGAATTAGAGAATTATATAGATAACCAATTATAAATTCTAGTTTTAGAACTGGTTCCAATATCGCAATTATTTAAGACACTTTGAAAACTGCATTCTAAGTTTTATCATTTTGTAAACTTAAGAGAACGGAATTCGTTAGTCCTTCTTTACACTCACCAAATGTGTCCAGTTGAAAATCAGGATACTCGCCCGGGATAACTTTGTACTTCCAATAATTCACATGACCTGAGAAAGAAATGTTCATTTTAATGAATACATGTCCGCTAGAAGGATAGTGTATTTGATACCGTTGCCCAATTTTGGAGCTATGAACCATCAGTTTCGGAGGAAGAGTGATTGTCCTAATTTCAACTACACCTGCTATACCCATATTGTCAACAGGGGTTGCAGTTATACTGGTTTTTCTTCCTGGAATTAGGCCTCGAATTGAACAGTTAGTTGAAAAAAAAGTTCGGGTAGTGTCGTTTGGAGAATTTTCTGGAGAAAGAGCGAAGTTTATCTGCTTTAAGTTGCCTACGACAGATGAAATGAATAATACGGAATAAAAATCGGAGGTTTCGTTTTCATCTAGCCGAGAGACTTGAATGTTCTCCAAAATTATACTAGCTGCAACTTTGATTTCGGTAACTGCTCCTTCTACTAATCCAGCTATCTTCACATATAAAACGTGACCCTGTCTTTCATTTCCGACAAATATTTCCAATTTTGTTTTGTCTTCTAAACTCTCGGCAAAAACTTCAGTAAGATTATCTTCGTTGAGCCAATATACCACTTTTGTCCAAATGCGCGGCAGCTCTAATTCCACTAAAACGAATCCGTTTTTAGTTGTTTTCTGACTCAGCTGCCTAATTTCAACCGGAGGTGTGGTGATATTTTTTGAAACAGCCTCGCGTTTTGATTCGTAAAATACTTGAGCTTCAATTTTAAATTCTCTGTTCGGGTTTAGTCGTTCGAACCTAATTCGTTCACGAACTGCGTGGGGACATTTTTTAGAAACTGTTTGGTTTTGAGGCGTGATTGAAAAAATGACATAATCGCAATTTCCACTCAAATTGAACCAAAATTCAACAGAGTTGGAATCGACTACAAACTCAGTTAAGTCGAATTGCTTGAAATAACTTGTTACAACATCAAAGTAAACAGAATCTCCATATGTTTTGACAGATTTGTTGTTGATAAAAGGTATCATCATAGCAGAATATCTAGTTCCAGGGCTCAAGGGGTTAATGAAAATGCTTGCAGTGTCAGGGTAAAAAACGGCGACTGGTGAATTAATTCCAGGAGCGATTCGAAGTTCAATTGAGGCTTCAGAGGGTTCCACAGTCCAGCTGATTGTCAGGTTGGATTCGCGCAGGACGTGATTATGTGTCAAAATTTTGGGATCATGGAATGACTCTAAAAGTAATAATTAATCTGACAAAAAGCCTTGTTTTCGAACATCCTTTGTTATTTGATTGTTTTTGAAAGCCAGATATTATGAAAATTTTTGAATAAACATTTGCGCTCTAACAACAATCAGTTAGCGTTTTTGAATTTCGTTGGCAAATAGAGCGTGCCATATAAAAGACCAAAAGGGGAACATTTGCCTGTTCATGGTGTCGATTTCTTGAGAACGGTGGCGCTCTCCAACAACCCCCACCCTTTAGTTGCCCTGAACAAACCTTGTTTTTTGAAAGCGTCTTTCAAGAAACTGAATATTTTTACAAAAATGTTTAAAACTAACTGCCAATTATTTTCACTTCGCAAATGAAGACGATGGAATTTCCTTCTGCATTGTCGGTGATAATATCATCCTGAAACTCAACTTCCAATTGTAAAATATCCACCGGTAGAACTGAACTTATGTTCGAGCTTGCACAGTCGACGATGACCCATTGACCCCTGTTAGCTGAGGTCACAAGGTCACAAGAAGCCCGGTCACAGGCTTGTCCGTTGGTTCCGTTTTGACACGGTATCGCCGTCAGTGACTTCAGATTGGCAACTTAAATCAATTGTAAAATTTTTTTATATAAAATTGATCGTTTTTTTAATGAGGCAATTTATCAGATTGTGAAAATGCTTGCAGGCTGTTTAAACTAAGATTTGAGCATGTTTTATTTTGCCAATATCTATTAATTTCTTCAATCTAAATTTTAGCGAGTTTTTCCAAGTATCAAAGGTCTAACTGATTATTGTCGAATAGACAAAATATAGCCATCAAAATTTTCCATGACCAAATGAAACATGGAATCAAATCTCACTTGATTCATGGTTGGCGAACAGAATATGAATCTGTGACACAAAATTTCTTTCATTGAAATGAATATTCAGAACGGTCCGATTGCTCTGGCTGGGCTCCAATTTCACACAATTGTTAATATCCGTGCTTCCATGTCCGTCCCAAAGTTTGTCAAAATATTCATCCATATCAGCAGTCCCGGAAATGGTGATTCCAGGACTTTGGATTTCACCAATTGGAAGCATCGTTTTTCCAAAACTCCCAACTGAACAAAATTCGTATTTAACTCTGATTTTCTTGTCAAAAACTCAGGTATTTGAAATTTGATTGCGATAGTGTCAACAATAAATAATGTCATCTAGTCATTTAATTTTGAAGCTAGAAAACGATCTTTTTCAGTATCTTTTAAGAAACCTGGCCTAATTTTTTTTTCAAAAAATTCAAGTTCGAAATTTAACCTTTTGATCCGATAAACTCCATTTCACAGATTGCCAAGGTGACGTCATCGACATTTGAAGTCATGATGCGCACATTGGTGCCAATCAGTTGGCATTCGAGGTAGTTCCATCCCGCTTCCCCTTCCAGAACTGGCAGAAGGTCAAGTGACTAGCTTCCACTTACTTGCACTCAAGTGATTTTACTTTTAACTCAGGTAGCACAAAAACGAACAAAGAGGATTGGTGATGAACGATTCGAAAAAAAATGCAAAATAAACTTTTCTGAAGAATTTTTTCTTTGTTTTTCAGTCTTAGTCTTACCGTGTTGTATGATCACCGTATTTTGAATGTATTTACTTGCTTCCATGCAAATTAAGGTAACATAAAAAAGTACAAAGAGGATTAGTGATAAACCACTTCGAAAAAATCAACTGAAAAAATCCCAGGTCGAGACTCCGTATTTCTGTAAGTTTCTTCCTCATGTATTGATCAAATTGGTTGCGCTAGTTATTTTAAATCAACCAAAAATCCATAGCCAATCAGGACTTATATTTCAAATTGAAACCGAGTGGAATAAAAACCTAAAATTGAACTATCTAAAAACAAAAAAATCGCTCAAAGTCGCGACTAGGAATCTCTTGCTAATTTACAAATATATTTTTTAATGTTTTCGTTCAAAAATCGAAATAATAAAAAATGTCTGCTCTTTTGAAAATCGCTATCTGAATGATGCATTGAACAACGGTGTTTCGAGGAGAGTTGCTTACAGCAAACCATGAGGTTCCAGGGTATATCGTTAACGCTTTGAGATGACAAAAATAATGTAAAATTGGTGATCTTAATACTCTTTTGGCGAACTAAGAACTTGACATACAAAGTTTTCCCTTGGAAATTGGATGCAGTATGGTGAGGCTAAAGATGGGCACGTACTATTAAGAATGTTTTGTCAATTAGGTAAGTAGAAGAGTAAAAGATGAACAATCGAGTCCAAAATTAGTTTGAATCATGAAGAATTAAACCCTCTTGTGTCCAAAAACACAAGTGAAGTAATTTTGGTCTATCATCTCCCAAATGGGAAATCACAAAAGCTATCACTATGAACCTCACAGGGTGGATACTAGGGATGAATTGACACGGGCATGAAGAAGCCAGATCCCATGGCGTAGGTGATAACAGTTCCAGGAAGTGCAAATTGCCCTAATAAAACTCAATATTTAGCGGTGGGAAAGGGGCCAAAGTTTAGTACGTTACAAAAGTAGTTTGCGAAAACTTAAATTTGGAACCCCAGATACCTATTTCTTGTGCTATGCCTTAAGTGAATAGTCCCCGACACGACGGGGAGCCGAAATTTTCAGTTACGACAGGTTGTGACAAGATACATTATGAATTATAAATTGAAATAAGTTCGGTGGTTGGACCGGAAGCAGATAGCGTTTGTGAAAAACGCCCTTTTGATGTTATGGCTGCAAAAGACACTATATATTAATCCCAAAAAAGATTACGCCTGAAATAAAACCTTCCGGCGGCTCCTTCTGGCGTTAATAGCCCTTTTCCAGGAAAGATTTAATGGACTTAATGAATCGGTTGGAAGGTTGAATCGCCATGGGACTTTTTAACCCGAAAAAGTGGATATTGACCCTTGGGGACCCCAGAAGTGACCTCTAAACGATCTTTTGGTGTTTTAGGCCAACATCGTTCGAAATGTTCCAGGATTATCAAAAGGAAAGTGGCCTGTTCACTAGCCCTAACCTTTGCAAGTGGGAGTTGGTCCACTTACTTATAATGGGGAGGAACTTTATACACTGGGAAATGGAGCAAAAGCTAAAAGGGTATTAATTAGGAGATATTTTTTGGCATGATTGGACCTCTTAATTGCAAAGACCTTGCCCTTGATAGATAAAAGGTCGGGATACGAAGTAGTTACTTATAAAAAGGACCTCCCCTTATCCCCAGGAGATTATATAGCAGACGGGATTTTTGAATATAATGCTTGGGAAGTTACCCAATTAATCATAATTTGGTTTTGAGGTGACACATACTTGCTAATTTAATTGAACTGTTGCCAAATCGATTGTTAAAAGTGAACTAACGAGGCGGCTGACGAATGAAACTAAACGCGGGCTTCGTTATCGAGGTATATAATTTTAGCTCTCTCCTTAAGAGCCTTTTAAAATACTTTTTTTAATCATCGCCTATTGAAGAAGAATTACCAAGTTGTGCCCTCGATTTACTGGACTGCTAGAAAACGCAGAAGATTATAATGTAGTGTAAATCCGCTCCAATTCCTATAAGTGTAAATATAGACCAAAACACTGAAACTTTTTTTATATAGACGAAAACACTTTAGTTAAAGTTATAAGAATTCTTAGTAGTTTTGAGAAGTTGGGAGCAAGTCACTTAACCTTGTCCTAGCGGGGAGCTAGAATCAATTCTGTCGTCGCACAACTGGCATCCGGTCTCGTTACAGATCCGAACATCCAGATGACGAGAATTCAGTGAAGCTGGAAAGCATTCCCTTCATAGTACGGTTTCGATGAAATGTAAAAGTGTTGAAGCATTTGCAATTTTGTGGGCTTTAAAGCCGTATGTCTCGCTCAAGATTTTTTCGAAGCTTCCGAAACCCCTCATTATCTTTTTGCATTCATTTTTGGAAGACGTGTGTTCAAGTTTTGCTAAAATGCATACTTGGTGGCACTTAATGGCAAATTTATTGGTTTCACCTAAATTTGAAAATCAAAAAAATGTCCCAATGTTCGCTGATTTGAAGTGTTTTCACTGTTTCAGGATAGCTATAAAAAAGTTTTTACTATTGGTTCAAGAATTTAGTCGTTTCTCTTTTTATAATACCTATCTCAAAATGTTGATTCGAAAAATACGTATATGGGCAATAAAAAACTTAAGACGATAAGGTAACTTCTCGGTTAATTTAACAGAAGAGCAAAAAATGCTATTTTGTGCGCTCAAAGTTGTTATAATGCTGACAAAATTTTTAAAATTCATAGTACAATTTTATGCTATTTTAACAATATGAGTTTTTCAAACCTGCGTTGGCCCCGTAAGCGTTGTAAATACCGATTGAATCGACGTAAATACGGTGTTCTAAGTCTATTTTTAGTCCAAACTCATCTTCAGTAGCTTCTCTTTCATTTTCAAACGGTTGTATTTCTCCTTTTTGAAAGGTCACGCAGTGCAATTCTGAACCCCTGCCTGTGTCGTCGTCATTCCGTTGATACACATGTTGATCAAACAAGACAGTAACATCGCCAACTAGAGAACACAAAATGTGAACTAAATTCTTGTATCAGGCAAAGTCTTCTTTTTCATGTGTGATGCAGTTTTTTGCAGAAAAAGAATTGAGTTCAACAAATTTTTGAGTTTAATTGTTTCTTCAAACAACCAAACTCTCGCTACCCATGCCCAAGATGTTAAAATTTTACCTCAAATAACAAAAATTTTGAATCAAGCAGATCGTTTCGATTCGGTTTGTAATGGTTGCAAAGCCGGATTATTTCTCCTTCTACTTCAAAAAATTTAAAATTTTTCGCAAACTAATTATTTCAAATTGACAGTTTTCAAGTCATATAAATTCAGAGAGAGTCTGATATAAATTTTGGGCTGGAACTAAACTATTAGTTATCTAGAAAACCCATTTCCCGAAAAAGCTTGCGTTTGTGTGAATTTTTGTCACTGGAATCCACAACAAAAAAATTTTAACATAATTTTGTGTAGGCAACATTTGTCAATGAATTCATTACAGCTACAGCAAACACAGAAGCTCGTAAAAATATGTCAATGGAATCCAAACGCAACCAAGCACAATTCTGTGCTCTGCTGAAAAACCGAGTTTGGCTGCGTAATGACTGCGCTCGTCAATACAACGTTTAAATATTGCGAAATTAGTTGTGAAAGGGACCACTCACCAATCAAATTGAAGTTTCCAAGAACAGTTTTAGGTCCATGATCGAAATCAATTCTTTGATACCCTGTCAAAATAAACTCGCATGAGTAAAATTACACATTTGTATCAAACCTTACTTAACCCTCAATGACTAAAAGTTGTTTGGGGTTACAAGTTTGTTCAGGTACACAGAGTCAAAAGATTGTTCCTGCTTTTGACCTAGAATCCGAAAAGCACTTCTGGTTCCTGTTTCGGTTTAGCCTCCAAGTTTTTAATCATGCTTAGGAAGTGCTGATTTAAATTAACCGGATGAGAATTTTAAACGCGCTTTTCTCATTTTGGGCAAATTTTAGACAAAAACTGATGAGCTCAAAAGTATTTGCAGTTTCAACACACTTATCGTGGTTCAATTTGTTTTGCGAATTCTGAAAGAGTTTATACCAAAACGCGTATCTTCTGTTGCCCAAAAATTTTCAAAACTATTATAATTTCCGAAATTTTGTATCAAGGAAATTATATTTTGGTTCGAATGTCAAAAATGTCACTTTTACCACATACAACAATTTCAAAAATTTCAAAAATTTTAAAAAGTTTCTGTTCTCATAACGTTTTTCTAAGAATAATCCTGTTTGAATGAAATGCGTGTTAAGTTTCAAGTTTTGTTTGTTTTGTTCGGTTAGCTTAAATCGGCACCGAATCAGCACTACGACTTTGTTATGATTAAGCACTACCGAATCAGCACTACGACTTTGTTATGATTTATAAAATTCTGCTACTCAGACTAGCTTGTAATTGCAGTACCCTTATTCAATGAGTTTTTTTTCAACAATTTTTTCCTTTTTCAAAGTTTCATAAATTATGCTTTCTAGTTTTAAATTGTCAATTCGACAACATTTACAAAAAGTGAATGTTACTGGAAGGCTCAATTTTTTGAGCCGCGTTGATTAATTTAGAGAAATGACTAACTAACCTTTTGTCAATGGAAAAATCTCTTGTAATCAAAATCTTTAGAAGACTCTGTATAGGTATAATAGATATTTATGAGCTGATTAGTTAACAAATTTGAGGCGTAAAACCATCCACTACCAGGTGAAAGTTTTTGGAATCTGTGGAACACAATCCATATTTTCTAAGAAATCATTTGAAAATTTAAAATGATTCAGATCAAAAGGAATGATAAACAGAAACATACTTTTTCAAGAGACCATGGTACTGTGATAATCATTAGATGAAGGTTGTCAAAATTTTCAGAAAACTTTCAATCCCAGATATTTTAAGTATGAAAACTGCTAGAGAAAATCACTTATTCATACGGACAGACATATATAATAACAAGACTGCTCGTATCAGAGCGAAACCCTGAATGTTCCGACTGCCTTTTAAGGTATATGGAGCATTAATAACAAAAAAAGTTATATGTATTAAAAAATAAACTGATTTTTTTAAAATCTCAGATTTGTTGTGAAAACACCCCCACTCGTCGTATAAAGTTCAAAGTGATAGATTTTGCTCCTAGCAACAAATCAATTATGGCTAATAAGATTCTTTCTACCAGTTTGGAACGATTTCTTAAGTGGATTACATATCATCGTATTAATTGTCCTAAATTTGCCAAAATTGCAATCCTTAAACCCCCATAAATTTACAAAAAATGATCACAGGTAAAATATCTTTTCAAATTTAAGCTCAAGACAACAATACCTTTTGAATGAAAAAAAATCCCGTCCAAAATGGCCAGTTAAAAAGTCGAAATTTGTCAGAAAAAAAACCCACCCGAGCACAAAAGTTCCGTTACTTTCGTCGGAACAAAAAGTGAGAATGATCTTTGTCGGAGAAAGTTCTAGAATTGGAGTTAGTTTCTCTTCAAAAAAACTTCAAGCTTTCATGTTGAGACAAGCATGGGGTGTAGCCGACTCTCATTGAAAATTGGGTTATTTTATGTTGGAAGAAGAAGCGGATGGTTTGTTCATTTATAGTATCTCAACGTCAACTTTTAGTAGATTTTTTTAACGGAAGTTTACAGCAGAGCAGATTGCACACCAGAGAATGAAAGATGGGTTCATTCTCTAGTTTGCTAATTATAAAAAACTACCTGTTGAGTTTTCTTTTTTTTCGCTCTGCAAAATGTAATCAAAATTTACGGTGGGTAAATGGTATTTTTATTCAACGATGTTTTGAATCATGAAGCATCTAAAATTCATGAATTTAGAACGAACTTGGGTAATAGCTTCTTCCCATTTTTTGTTTTTGCATTTTAATTTATTTCATTATAAATCTGTATGCTTTTTATTGTCTTCTCGGTATAGCTTACGCAAAAAATTAGAGTGCAGTTTTTTTTAGGGTGTGCTTGTTTTTGTTTTTAGAGGTGTGGGCAGTCAATAAGCAGAATGGTCTAAAAGCAGAAAACTTGAAAAATATCAAGTTATATAAGCTAATCGGTAAGTTGATTTTCAGAAATGTCAAAAATACCAAAGCAACGAACATTTTATGCATAACTTAGGTAATTGAATGAAAATTTAAAAGAAAATTTTAATAAATAAACAATAAAATTATTCAATTCTTATTCAATAAATTGTTTTTCCGACTTTCTATTTAAAAGTAACGGAATATTTGTGCTCGGGCTGGGTTTTTTTCTTCAGACAAATTTCGACTTTTTAACTAGCCATTTTTGACGGAATTGTTTTTATATCATTCAAAAGGTATTGTTGTCTTGAGCTTAAATTTGAAATTTTTTTTTACCTGTGATCCTTTTTCGTAAAGTTATGGGGGTTCAAAGGTTGCCAATTTGGCCAATTTGGGACAATTAACGGGCAATAAATTTCGTGCTAATATCGCGTAAGAGGAGATTTAATCCCTCTTACAAAATCGTCCCAAATTGGTTGAAAGAAGCCTTTTTGCCATAATTGATTTGTTACAAGGAGCGAAATTTATCTTTTTGTAGTTTAAATAGCGTGTGGGGGGATGATTTTCATAAAAATTTCAAGTTTTAGAAAAAAAAAGTTTTTCGTTATATTTTTTTACATTTAATTTTTTTAAATGTTATTACTGCTCCATAGACCATTATTATCTTCTCGGTTTAGCCTACGCAAAAATTGAAGCCCATGCAGTGGGAACATTCAGGGCTTCGGCCTGATACGAGAAGTCTTGTTTAATTTATGCATTTTCGTGGTATTTTTTGACGATTCTAATAATTGTCTTATCAATTAGCCCGTATAAACCAACATAAGTCAATATTTTTTGCTTTTCTGCTCTTGGACCCATTCTGCACTAGGACGATTCTGCTTATTGCTCCGCATTTGTTTTTAGAGTGTGTTTGTTCAAATTTAAATAACTTGTACAAACATATAAATGGGCTTTTTTACTTTTACCAATCGTTTTTAACCTTCAGCCATCAACAGCCAATTTTACATGCTAAGCATACATATGTTGATTTTAGAGGTCACGAACTAAACGGTTACGAAGCAAAAAGTAGACAAATATTAAAAAAAAACACGTCGGTAGCTTACCAGAATTGAGAAAAAAATATATTTCGCACGTTTGGTTTCATCTCTCGATTCTGATTGGCTGACGGGCGCTTTACGTCTACGTTTTGACCGCACTCCAAACTAACCTGTGCAGTAGTGTCCGTTGCCGTGTAGATGTTCAAAGCACTCGCATTGTACCTTTTCATCGTCAATATGATCAAAATGGCCGCTATCGAAGATGCAGTTGGCCAGTTCGTGGCAAATATTCTTTTTATCGTCGTCGCAAAGATCTGTGATTATAGCTCAAAGTTATTAATTTTACAATTTATACTTTTGAATAAGAAAGAGTAAAAAACGCAGTTGCCACCCATTAAAAATCTTTGATTTCTTTTAATCTCTTTTTCCTCTGCGTATGAAAAATGCAAGCAATAAGAAAACCAGGCATTGCTGTTCATAAGCACCACAGAATAGTGTAGCCACGGTATATTGGCAAAAAAATTAAACAAAATATTGATTTTCATCATCTATTTAAAATTAAAAGAGATTTGTAGATGTTTTTAATCGATTATTTTCAGTATTTAAAACTACAATTATTAACCATTATCATCAATTAAAAGCCATTTTTGCTTTCAAATAACCGATTTTTTTTCTGCATAGAATCCATAAAAATCGATTATTTTTGCAAATGTGAAATAATTTCTCTTCATTTTGCAGTTTTCTGCAAAAATAAAACCCAATCATTCATCCCCGCGTTCACCCCCGCCCTCTCCAATGTTTGGCGTCTGCCCCTACTTTCACACCCCTCACACCACCTGTCGACCCAAAGGGTCCCCCCTTTGTTTTTTTGAGATATCTATTTTTGGCTGACGGACCCTAAAATTTTTCTAAAGGCGCCTTCGGCGCCAATATATACTAACTTTGAAGGGGGAGCGCTCGCCAAAAAAATCGGCCGAGAAAGCTTGTTTTTTTTTCAAAATTTTGCCTGAGGCGCACAAAATTTGGCCAAAACAAGATTTTTTTAGTGTTTTGAGAGAGCTCGGAAAATCAATTTGATCGACCTATAAAAAGGTCGACAAAATTGTCGACATTTTTTGAAATGCCGCCCCCCCCCCCCCCCCCCCCCCCCTCGAGAAAACCTAGATCCGCCCCTGATTATAATTGATTATTCTATATTTCAATAATATAACAAAAAAGATGATTGTAATTAAATTAAGTTTGTTGTAATCGATTATTTTTGATTTTTGTGGAGATTGAAATTAACAAAAAAATAACGACTGTTATGCATGAAATTCCGTTGCGGGTAGTCAGTCTGTGTAAAACTCTAAATGCTTGTAATGAATTAATATTAAATTTTAATTCAAACAAAAGAGACATAAAATTAAATCACTATGTTCCTTTATAGTGGATAATAATATATTTTAATGGATTATAATTTTTTAAAACAAGACACTTGACTTTCCAAAATCTTACAGAAAAGATTGAAAAATTGCCCGTTGAGGCCTTCAACTTGAGATTTACCTTCGGCTTTAAAAAACGGGTAAGAATGGATATTCAATAGTGTTTTGCAAAATAGGCTCTTTTTCTCTTTTTCCTCCCCCCCCCCCCCCCCCCCCCCACCTGCAAATTAGTGAAATTTTGTTGATGTTATCCGAATGTTACAAAAATTGTCATGCGATTTAATTACGCTATGACAAATATATTTGGTATTCATGTTAACCTTGTAAAACCCTTCGTTACACCATAAAATGGTTGCTTATGTGAGGTGGGGGAAAGGAAAAAGAGCCGCAAAATATAAGTAACAATGAGTCAATTTAGATATTGAGTAGACTGTGATTAAAGCAAAAAAAAAACCTCATTTTTGCAAAAAACATGGAACATGTTTTTTTCAGCAATAATTTTTATAATTTTGAACTTATATATTTAAAAACTGTCGTCAGAACACTTAGTTGAAAAATGACTGAATAAAAACGCATAAATGTTTTTCGAAAAATGAAACAGTAAGAATTTCAAATTAAAAAGAATGAAGAAGCGTCATTTTGAATAAAACTTCTTGTAAAAAAGACTTAATCAGAATCCATTTTTTGAATAAAAATTTTGGCAGCTTCTCAAAAAGTTACAATAATTTTTTCAATGCTTCTGATCGAAATCTGATGACTTTTGCTACATTTTGTTTATGTGAAACTATGGTGTTTCAAAAATTGGGGCAGATGTTTTATTCAAATAGCAAGCTATATTTTGAACTATTTCGTCATGCGTTTAAAAATTAGCGAATCATTTCGAGTCTGAAATGAAATCAAACTTAACCAAAACAAACTCAATCGTCCTAATAACGTATTGCTGGACATTACAGAGTATCGTTTTATACATACTTGAAATCATATGAAGGTGGGAAGAATTTCAACACAAAACAACAAAAGTTCAAGTTTTTCGAAATCACCAGTTTTTGCCAAGCTGCAAAAACGTAGCATATTTTTTTAAAAACAGAAGAATTCTTTGCTGCCTTTGCTGATAAAATCAGTTTTAGTTGTGTTACGATGAGTTATTAAAATCATGTTGGTTTCTGAATCATCTAAAAGTGATTATTGTTCCGACTTTCGATACGAAAGTAACGGAATATTTGTGCTCGGGGTGGTTTTTTTTTCTTCAGACAAATTTCGACTTTGTAACTAGCCCTTTTTGACGGCATTTTTTAAATATCATTCGAAAGGTTTTGTTGTCTTGAGCTCAAATTTGAAAAGATATCTCACCTGTGTTATTACTGCTCCATAAACCTTAAAAGGCAGTCGGAACATTCAGGGCTTCACCCTGATACGAGCCTTCTTGTTTCAGTTGTGATTAATATAGTGCGCTCAAATAACACTCAGTTATCCAGGCGTTAAAGTTTTAGGAATTTTTCTGTTTTTTGGAAAAGCAAAAACTTCTGAAACTTCCAAAAAACGAGAAAAAAACTTGCTTTTTCCCAAACGCTTTTTTTTCGAAAAATTTTCTTTAAATCCGATTCTCGTCTAGCTACGTATGATTAGTCTTAAATAGCTGGCCGCAAATCACCTTCGAACATTTTTTTTGAGCTCCCAAAATTTTTATATTTTAATGAGTTTTTAAGCTCAGGTCATCAATAACTTTCAGTTAATTAAGAAACTCCATTCAATGACTAATAATAATTTTTAAAAATGTCTAAAAAAAATCAACACACCCAGCTGAAACAATCCATGATTTTTTGAAAGTCAGTAAAATACACTTCGGGAGCAAGTCAATCAATCAATCAATAACTAAAAACAAATTTCAGATATTTTTTTTTCTTTTTGTTCGGAAAGTGTAATATATTTAAGAGGACTGACAACAAATCTTTTTAATGAGACTAAGTATGTAGCCTCAATTAGTTAGGCAAGAAATTATTCATTGATTCAACACCGTGTTCAACAATGAATGCAAAAAACGCTTTGAAATTGGTTTGCGTAAAGAATTAGTTATTAAAGGAAGCAATGTTAAGTATACGGATATTTATTTCAGTCCAACACTCCTTTCATAAAGTTTAGTACGATTGAGTTCGCCTTTTTGAATCAAAACTTATCTTTTTAATTTTTGTTTTTTCAAAATAACCCTGATTGATCTGACTGCTCATTCATTGGTCTCGCGAATATTTTATGGTAATTTAAATATTGGCAATGATTATTGGCTGATACTAATTTAGTATGACAATTTGAGTCATGTATGACGTCATTGAAATCAATTAGCTGCCTCAATTCAGTTTGCAACGATTTGATAGCGCGGAATAAATCTCTACGTGTAAAGTATAAAAGGACCAGTTTTTACAGACTCGTGGCAATTCACTATATTTGTAAGCACACACGGCTGCGCCCTTGCAGATCAAAAGATCGGTCCGCTGAGGGACCAAAATTTTATAAAATTAGTTTGAATTAGAAAAAAAAACACCGAGCATGTTTATTCCGTACTTTCTTGAAAATTCGGCCCAGTAAGTGTGACTACATTGTTTTTGTAATTGTTTTAAATGAAAAAGACTTTTATTCGATGCTAGATGCGTTACCATGAAAGAAACACATTACCATTTTGACAATTTGGGTTGCAGTTGAGAAATTTGCGCTGATTAACTTA